GATTAACCCCCTGCCCTACATGGCAGGTACTCCTTGTTGCGGTGAGGGTGTGGGTGACGACGAGGTTCCTGGCCAGGCGGAACGTGGGGCATTGCAAAATCAGGGTCTTGTTCCCGTCCTTCACCAATTTGGGGACACGTCGAAGGAGCGCGAGGGCAGGAATTCGGACGCCTGGAAAATGGCAGAGAAAAGAAAGAAAAATGGTAAGGATCAGACGTCACACCGCCTACCACAACCGCGCTTGTGCGATGCCTGTGGGGCTTTTGGGGTGAGTTTCCTGCTTTTCAGGAGGGGAACGAGGGGGACGGGGGTGCCAACCCACCTGGTGCAGCAGGAGGTGTTCGTGGATGTAGGCTGACACCGCATCCCAGACGTTATTTCTCTGAAAGGCAAAAAAAAATCTGGTCACACACCGCCTCTCGTGGCTACCACCCTTCCATCACCCCAAAACCCGCGTTGCATAAAGATCATCACATCCCCGACCCCAAAACAGAGACCCTACCACACAGAGCCAGGTCTCCCCGCCACGAGAAGACCCAAATTTAGGCGCCTACCAAAACCACGTTACATAAAGATCCATCACATCCCCGAACCCCAAAAAGAGACCTCCACACAGAGCCAGGTCTCCCCGCCACAAAAAGCCCCAAATTTCGGCACCTACCTTGGAGGTGATGCTGGGCGTGAGGCACGGGACCTTCATCCCATCCCAGAAGTGGACGGGGGTCCGCCTCACGTTGGGCAGCACCTCGTCGGCAAAAGTGACGCGTTTTTGCATCCTTGGCTCGCTCTCGGATATTTCTCCAGAGATGAAGGGTCCCGGCGCCACCCCCCACCCTTTTATACCCTGCTACTGCCCCCTGCCCATTGTGACACGGCTAATGAGGTCATCACTTACGTCATAACTGCCAACAGGGCCACCGTCACCATGACTGTAATACACCATAAATGTTTGCCCCTCCCTTTAGTGACCAAACCCCTCCTTTTAGGGCCCAAACCACTCCCTTCAGGGCCTAAAGCCCTCCCTTCAGGCCCAAACCCCTCCCGTCAGGCCCAAACCCTCTCTTTAGGCCCAAACCCCTCCCTTCAGGCCCAAAACCTCTCTTTAGGCCCCAAACCCCTCTCTTTAGGGCTCAAACCCCACTTTTTCCGGCCCAAACCCTTCTGCTTTTTAAGCCACACACCCTCTCCTTAAGGCCCAAACCCTTCTTCTCCTTAGGCCCCAAACCCCTCTCTTTAGGGCCCAGACCCCTCTTTAGGCCCTATACCTTCTCTTCAGGCCCCAAACCCCTCTCCTAGCCCCCAAACCCCTCAAATTTAGGCCCCAAGCCCGTCTCTTCAGGGCCTAAGCCCTGGTCTGTCGGTTCCAAGGGTGGATTGTTCAGAGGACGAGCGCAGGGATGAGCCTGAACGCGACCTCTGCCAAGGAGAGGAAACCCTCCTGCATGAAGCCGACCCGGGTAGAGCTGTGGGACGGCATGCAGCGCAGGTGCCTGATGCCCAACATCACCGCCAAAGGGACGGGCACAGCTGGGCACAGCCTTTTGTCCCCACATCTCGGTGGCTTCCCCAAAACTGAGCCCTGGGGTGGGAAGTGGCCACGGTGCCTGAGCAGGAGGATGGGGGTCCGAGACCCTATGCACCCCCCTGGGACCGATGTCGGCAGCAGCAGCACCCCACTTCTGACCATGTCCGTCCTTTCCAGCCTCAGGGGGATTGCTCGACATGCCTTTCACCATGCGCGCGAGCATCCCGAAACACGAGCTCCCAAGGCTGAAGGAAACAAAAGCACAGGAGAACAAGAAGGAATCCGGGATCAGGTGAGGCCGGAGGCTCACGGTTGTCTTCTCCCCAGCAGGGAGCCCCTCGCCCAGCCCCAAACACTCCGGGCTGGGGCCACCCCAAATTGCTGAAAGCAGCACCCGGAGGGGTGGATGGGGCCCGTGGTGTGCAAGCAGGGTCACGTTTTCAGGGTGCGGGATGCGGCCCCAGTGCCATCGTGTGCTCATGAAGACATTTTTGATGTGTTTTCAGCCAGCTGCCAGCAATCCCGGGGCTGCCTCTTGCCAAAAACCAGCCTTTGGCCAGCCAAGACCAGGACAAACTCACAGCCTGAAGCGGAACACCAGGGATGGACAAAATGGGGCCATCAACATCTCAGGGGGTCCCAGGAGAAGAATGAAGAGAGGACATTCTGCCCACCCTGGACAGCACATCCGAGATGCTGGAACCCAAACCGGCCAGAGCAAGGCGCCTGGAACAGGAGAGACCCCCCACAGAATCCGAGATTTTGGAAATTTGGAAGCGTTACCTCAAGAAGCAAAACCCAAAAAGGATTGGGGTGCGTGTCCGAGTTCGCTTGCTTTTTGCACATTAGCAATAAAAGGCACCAAACCAAACCCAAAACTGTAGTGCTGGCAAGTTTGCTCTATTTATTTGGCTTTAATTTTTGCTTTCATTTTCCCCAAAGTGCTGTTTTAATCGGGACATGACATTAAAAACAAGGATTTGCACCCGGCTGACTTGGGGCAGGCGGCTGCAGATGCCAAAGGGGCAGGAATGGGACTTGGGCCGTGCAGTTTGTTATTTATTTCCCCCTGGGAGGCATAATTAATTTTATAATTAATTTATAATTAATTAATGTAATAAGTTAATTTTCCTCAGAGCTGCCCTTGTGGTGCCATTCCGCATTTGGGCTTTGGCTGCTCTGAGCCGCAGTCCCATCGCACGCACCTAAAGCACCATTTTTAGTGCCCCAAGCCCCTTTTGGGGGCCCAAAGCCTTCATTTTGGAACCCAAAAGCCACATTTGAGTGTCCACCACCCCATTATAAGAGCCCAAAGCTTCCTTTCGGGGTCCGAACCCCAAACTGCTTTTGAGAGCTCAAGGCACTGGTTTTAAGATCCAAGCGTCTGTTTTACGATCCAAAACATCAAATTAGGATCCAGATCCTGCTTTTTATGGTCCAAAGACTAATTTTTTAGATCAGGGTTATTTCCAGTCTCCTATACCTCATTTCGGGGTCCAAAACTTCCTTCAGAGGGTTTCCACTATTAATTTTAGAGCCTCACGCCTCCTATTTAGGGCCCAAACCCTTCCCTTTAGGGCCCAAACCCTTCCCTTTAGGGCCCAAACCCTTCCCTTTAGGGCCCAAATCCCTCCCTTTTGGGCCCAAATCCCTCCCTTTTGGGCCCAATCCCCTCTCTTCAGGGCCTAAGCCCCGATTTTTAGGGCCCAAGCCCTTCTTTTTTGGGCCCCAGACCTTCTCTTTAGGGCCCAAACCGTTCCCTTCAGGGCAAAACGAAAAAACGATTCTTCAGGGCCCAAATTTCCCCCCAAAGACCCAGATGCCCCCCCCCCAAGGCGATCTGGGTGCCCCCCCATTACAGGAGACCCCAGGTGTCCCCCCCCAGTGACAGCGCCGTCCCCTCTGTGTGTGTCCCCCCCCCTGTAGGGGACCCCAGTCCTGGTGTCCCCAAGGGGGGGGTCCCGGTGTCCCCAAAGGACCCCAGCACCTGGGTGACCCCAATGGGGTCCCGGATTTCCAGGGGTCCCCCCCAAAAAAAAAGAAGCCGGGGTTGTGGGTTCTTCCCAAAAGGGGCCAAGGCACCCGGCTGTCCCCAGAATGACCCCAAAAGGGACCTGGATGACCCCAAAAAGGGGCTTGGATGTCCCCAAAAGGGACCTGGGTGTCCCCAAAAAGGGGCCCTGGCACCCAGCTGTCCCCAAAAGGGACCTAGATGACCCCAAAAAGGACCTGGGTGTCCCGAAAAAAGGGACCCTGGCACCCAAACGGGTCCTGAATGACCCCAAAAAGGGACCTGGGTGCCCCAAAAGGGTCCTGGATGACCCCAAAAAGCTGGGCTTCCAGGAGACCGGCACCTCCAAAACCGTCACCTGCACCGTACGTGGCCGGGGGGGGGCACAGGGGAGGGGGCAGGATTTTTTGGGGGAAGTTACGGGGTTGTGGGGTCACCCAGGAGGCCCCATAAGGGTCCCACAAGGGGTCCTGGTCAAGACTGCTTTCCGAGAGATCCCAGCCAAACTGGGGTTTTAGCCCCCAAAAAAAGGCATTAGGCCCCCAAAATTGTCGGTTTATCCCCAAAATGAAGCATTAGGGACCTGGGTGACCCCAAAAGGGACCTGGGTTCCACAAAAGGGTTCCGAATGACCCCAAAAAGGGGCTTGGATGTCCCAAAAAGGGGACCCTGGCACCCAAAAGGGACCTGAATGACCCCAAAAAGGGACCTGGGTGCCCCAAAAGGCCTGAATGACCCCAAAAAGGGACCCGGGCCTCCCCACGAGGTCCCCTGCCACTGGGGTGCCCCCAAGGCTGCCCCCAGCCTCCCTCCCCAGCAGGACCTGTGCCCCCTGGAGCCGAGCGAGCCCCCCCCCGAACACCCCCCCCCCACTGCCCCCCCCCCCCCAACAGCTCCCCCCGAGCCCCCCCATGGTGCAGGCCTACAGGGGCCACAACCACCTCAGCTGGGGCTTCGAGGGGACCGGCACCCCCAAAACCATCACCTGCACCATAAGTGGCCGGGGGGGGCACAAGGGGGGGGGCAGGATTTTTTTGGGGGGGTTACGGGGTTGTGGGGTCACTTCAAGGAATTTCAGCTTCCATCCTTGAATCAGCTGAACACCCAAACTGAAGTATTAGGCCCGCCATATTGGGGGGTTAGGCCTGAAAATGAGGCATTATCCCCCAAAATTGGGGGTTTAATCCCCAAAATGAGGCATTAGGTCCCCAAAACTGGGGGGTTTAGTCCCCAAAATGAGGCATTAGGCCCGCCATATTGGGGGTTTTAGTCCCATAAATGAGGCATTAGGCTCCCTAAATGGGGGGATTTAATCCCCAAAATGAGGCATTAGGACCCCAAAACTGGGGGGTTTAGTCCCCAAAATGAAGCATTAGGCCCGCCATATTGGGGGTTTTAGTCCCATAAATGAGGCATTAGGCTCCCTAAATGGGGGGATTTCATCCCCAAAATGAGGCATTAGGACCCCAAAACTGGGGGGTTGAGCCTGAAAATGAGCCATTAGGCCCCCAAATTGGGGGTTTAGGCCCAAAATGACATATTAGGCCTCCAAAACTGGGGGGTTAGGCCTGAAAAGGAGGCATTAGGCCTCCAAAACTGGGGGATTTAACCTGAAAATGAGGCATTAGGTCCCCAAAATTGTCGGTTTACCCCCAAAATGAAGCATTAGGCCCCCAAAACTGGGGGGTTTAGCCCCCAAAATAAAGGGGGGGGGGGGGAGGGGGATGAGAACCTCATGATCCGGAATAAAGAAATTTACGGCATTTTAGGCAATTTTTGGTAATGTATGAGAACAAAAAAGCAAGATGTCTTCAGATCTGAATAACTCACCGTTTTTTTTTTTTTTAAATTTCTTTTGCTTTTTCCAAGGTCCTTTTAACCACCCAGCTGGAACTGGGAATTAGGCAAGCCTACACTTTGCAGTGGAGCTAAAAGCCTGCCACCATCCCGGGTGGCAAAGCTGAGCCAAATTCCTCACGTTCGCGAATTTTTCCTTCTCCTCCCTCAAAATACTTTGCACTATTAAAATTTATTAGTTAGTAATCCCTTCGTTTGACGTTTTTTCCTTGTTCTGAGCTGTGGAATTCTGCCAAGCTGGGGCGTGGCAGGAGGAGGGGACTGCAAAGGACCTCAGGGACTCCAAACTTACAAGGAGCCTTGGGCCCCCACTTTTTGGGAGGTGCTGATGGTTTGGGGGGCTTTGAACCTGTCTGGAAAGCAACCTTCACCCCCCTCCTCATGAACGAGCCTCGTAAATAAAAACAAAAACTCAACAGTTTTTTGGGATTCCATCGTGTTTTCCTCCACCTCCTTCCTGAGGCAATCGTGTCAGGAAGAACGATGGAAATCTGCGAAGAAAAAGAGAAAAAAATAAGTTTGTTAGATTTTTTTTTGGCCTTCTTTACCCTCATGCACAGGCTTCAAGTCCTGACACCGATGCCAGGGCTGCCGTTTCCCTCGTTTTTCACCTCTATTTTCCCCAGGCCCTGGCCAAGCAGCAGGGTTTTGCTCCTAATTCTGCTAGGCCCGCACAAAAAAAGCCTTTCTTTTCCCAAAAAGCCTTGAAAGCAGCACCCAGCTACAAAAAAAAACACCCTCTCCTCTGTGGCCAAGAGCTTTTGAGGCCTTCCAAACCTAAAAAACATGGCCTGGTGTTGTCTGTGCGCCAACAGAAGAGAGGAAATTTGGGGATTTGAGTCTAGTGCTGGAGGAGACAAAGGTTTGGGTTGGACTGAGCCAACCTGTGGCTCAAAACTGAGATCCCTTTGGAAAGACCCCGCTTGTCCCCAAAAACTCTGCTTCCCTACAAGGCTTGAGCCCCCCAAAATGATGCTGATGTGGATCACCCACCTCTTTTGCCAACTCCGATGGCCTCCTCGCTAGGTTCTGGCGATCAAAGCCCGGGTTTTAGGGTGGCCGGGGCCACAAAAACGGAGAGCCCCGCCCAGTTTTTTCGGCGGTTTGGGTTGGGCTGACACGGGTCTTCTGGGCACGGGGTGCCACCGGGCGGGGTGCTCTTGGTGCCGTTCATGGATAACATGTTCTTCTGAGGTTCCTTTAGCATTGTCCAGAAGGTCTCAGGCCTGTTCCTTAACCTTTCTGCCCCCTCTTTTCCCGGGGGGCTGCAGCTGTAGACGTTGTAGGGGGGGCTCCTCGGGGAGGCTGGCCTCCGAGCTGGCCGGTGATGAGACGCTTATCACGGGGAGGACAGCTCTGGGGTCCCTGGGGCCGGGGGGGCTTTTTGGCTGCCGGGTTTTCCCCCACGCAGGGGGAAACATCCCCGCTCCTCTTCCTGCTCTCTGCCTCGAGGCTCCGGGTGTCTTTGCCTGTCCCGTTTTGCCTTTGGGTGACGATTTTTCTGCCTTGCGAGGAGTCCCCGGGATGGCCGGCAGCCTGATGGAAAAAACAAGAATCCAGGATGGTTTTTGGGGTCGCATCCTGCACCCCCCACCCCCCTCATGCAGCGCTGGATGCTGCAGCCCTGAAATTTGGGGGGGCTCCCGGCAGGCCTCATCCCACCCATTTGGAGCCCCCAGCCTCACCTCAAGGGAGCCTTCCCTGCCTTCTGCGCCTCCCCCTTCAGGGCTGCTTCTTCTGTCGACGCCGTGGGGGCAAGGGAAGGAAGCCCGAGACCTTTGCCTAAAATTTGGGAAGTGAGAGGTGTTAGAAGAACATTTCCGTGATGCCGCCGTCCCCGGGGACACGCCGGGTGCTGAGGCTGCTCCCCGAGACCCTCCTTGGCACCAGCCCTCGCCCGGCTCCTTTCTAAGCCTCAATATTTTTTTTGGGGGGCCGAGTTCTGGAGAAAGGAGCTGGCTACGGCCAATTTTAGGGGGTGTCTTGATCCCCGTCCTCCTGCAGCGCGCGCCAGGGCCGGGCACATCAGGCACCTCGCACCCGGGGGCTCCGTTTTGGAGGCGCGGTGACAAGATGTGGTGCAAGGCAGAGCTTTTGGGTGCTCCACGATGGGTTTTCTCACCAGGACTCAGTTCCCGTCCCTTCGAAGGGAACCAGCAGCTGCTTTTCTTCCCCAGCTTGGCCGAGAAGAGGAAAGCCCCTTCTTTCTTCTCCTTGGAGTGCTCCTGGGGCGTTTTTTTGGGCAATGCTCTCCTCTCAAACCTGGCAAAAGAAGACCTCAGCGTGACCCCAGGGCGCGCCACAATCATCCACCCCATTTCCACGTTGCCATCAAAGCCCCATCCCCAAATTCCTTCCTGGACTTTGCAATGGGCTCGTCCAGCAAAGAAGCACCCATGGGTGCAAGGAGAACCCGAGCAGCGGCCACAGCCACAAAAATACTCACTCGGGGAAGACGATGACACGGCCAGAGAAGGTCAGGGAGGCCAAGGGTGACACCCGGGACACCACCACCTCCATCAGCTGGGGGACCTGCAGGGGAGGAGCAAGGAGATGGCAAATGTCCTCTGCCTGGCCTCCACTCGGCCCTGGAGGAGCCCAGGGCAGCGGGAGCCGGCAGGACGGCAGCTCTTGGCCACCCCAAGAGCTCCAACCCGAGAGGTCTCGGTGGGCCAAGGGCAAGCATCGCTGCTGCCCCCGTGTGAGGCTGCCCAGGCCGTGGGGAAAACAAAACCCTCACCTTGAAAAGAGCCTTCTGAAGGTTCTCCTTCCCGGACAGCTTCTCCAGGAATTTGTAATAGAATTTCATCTGCACTCTTGTGCCTTCAATAACGAGCACCCCCACGTCCTTCAGGACCAGGGCGATGTTCTCCCCCTTCCCCACGCAGCGAGAGATGAGGGACGTGGTGCTCTGGATGCAGCTCTCCACTCTCTGCGAGGACATGAGGACGTTGGCGGCCACCTCGGGGTACTGGAGGGGCTCCAGCTCCTTGTGGCCTGGAAAACGACACGAGAGGGATGGGGGTGGTCACCAGCAGCCCTTCCCCGTGTTCCCCAGTGCTGCTCATGGCAGTCGTCACCCAGAAAGGCTTCGGTTTGGGACCTGCTCCGTGCAGGCGACGCTTTGCTTCTGAGCAGCACCTGAGATCCATGCAGCAAGGGATTCCTGCACCCTCTTACCTGGCAGGTACTCCTTGTCGGCTGTGAGGTTGTGGGCGACGACGAGGTTCCTGGCCAGGCGGAACGTGGGCCACTGCACCGTCAGGGACTTGTTCCCATCCTCGACCCGTTTGGAAACGACGTCAAAGCAGCCAAGAGTGGGAATTCGGACGCCCTGCAAGTGGCAGAGAACGGAAGGGCCGAAGGTTAAGGATCAGCTGGAATAAGAGCCGGAGATGGTCCCATCCGGGGTCCTGCTCTGCCCTTCCCGCTGTTGGGAGCCAGGCTGAGGGGACCCAGGGGCTTCCAGCGACCGGGGTCAGCCCTGAGATACCACACCGCCTACCAGAAGCAACACCGCACTTGTGCGATACCTATTGGTCCCTCGGTGGGGCTTTTTGGGGTGAGTTTCCTGCTTTTCAGGAGGGGAACGAGGGGGACGGGGGTGCCAACCCACCTGGTGCAGCAGGAGGTGTTCGTGGATGTAGGCTGACACCGCATCCCAGATGGATATTTTCTCTGGAAGGCAAAAAAAATCCGGTCACGCACCGCCTCTCGTGGCTACCACCCTTCCATCACCCCAAAACCCACGTTACGAAAAGATCCATAACATCCCCGGACCCCAAAAAGAGACCCCCCACACAGAGCCAGGCCTCCCCCCCACAAAAAGCCCCAAATTTAGGCGCCTACCAAAACCCGCGTTACATAAAGATCCATCGCATCACCGACCCCAAAAATAGGGACCCCCCCCACAGAGCCAGGCCTCCCCCCCCAACAAAAAGCCCCAAATTTCGGCACCTACCCTTGGAGGTGATGCTGGGCGTTGAGGCACGGGACCTTCATCCCATCCCAGAAGCGGACGGGGGTCCGCCTCCACGGTGGGGCAAGCACCTCGTCGGCAAAAGTGACGCGTTTTTGCATCCTTGCGCTCGCTCTCCGGATATTTCTCCAGAGATGAAGGGTCCCTGCGCCACCCCCCACCCCTTTTTATACCCTGCCCACTGCCCCCCGCCCCATTGTGACACGGCTAATGAGGTCATCACTTACGTCATAACTGCCAACAGGACCACCGTCACCATGACTGTAATACACCATAAATGTTTGCCCCTCCCTTTAGTGACCAAACCCCTCCTTTTAGGGCCCAAACCACTCCCTTCAGAGCCTAAAGCCCTCCCTTCAGGCCCAAACCCCTCCCGTCAGGCCCAAACCCCTCTCTTTAGGCCCCAAAACCCTCCCTTCAGGCCCCAAACCTCTCTTTAGGCCCCAAACCCCTCTCTTTAGGCCCAAACCCCTCTCCTTAGCCCCCAAACCCCTCAAATTTAGGCCCCAAGCCCGTCTCTTCAGGGCCTAAGCCCTGGTCTGTCGGCTCCAAGGGTGGATTGTTCAGAGGACGAGCGCAGGGATGAGCCTGAACGCGACCTCTGCCAAGGAGAGGAAACCCTCCTGCATGAAGCCGACCCGGGTAGAGCTGTGGGACGGCATGCAGCGCAGGTGCCTGATGCCCAACATCACCGCCAAAGGGACGGGCACAGCTGGGCACAGCCTTTTGTCCCCACATCTCGGTGGCTTCCCCAAAACTGAGCCCTGGGGTGGGAAGTGGCCACGGTGCCTGAGCAGGAGGATGGGGGTCCGAGACCCTCTGCACCCCCCTGGGACCGATGTCGGCAGCAGCAGCACCCCACTTCTGACCATGTCCGTCCTTTCCAGCCTCAGGGGGATTGCTCGACATGCCTTTCACCGTGCGCGTGAGCATCCCGAAACACGAGCTCCCAAGGCTGAAGGAAACCAAAGCACAGGAGAACAAGAAGGAATCCGGGATCAGGTGAGGCCGGAGGCTCACGGTTGTCTTCTCCCCAGCAGGGAGCCCCTCGCCCAGCCCAAACACTGCGGGCTGGGGGTGCCCCGCAGTGCTGAAAGCAGCACCCGGAGGGGTGGATGGGGCCCGTGGTGTGCAAGCAGGGTCACGTTTTCAGGGTGCGGGATGCGGCCCCAGTGCCATCGTGTGCTCATGCAGTCTTTTTTGATGTGTTTTCAGCCAGCTGCCAGCAATCCCGGGGCTGCCTCTTGCCAAAAACCAGCCTTTGGCCAGCCAAGACCAGGACAAACTCACAGCCTGAAGCGGAACACCAGGGATGGACAAAATGGGGCCATCGACATCTCAGGGGGTCCCAGGAGAAGAATGAAGAGTGGACATTCTGCCCACCCTGGACAGCACATCCGAGACGCTGGAACCCAAACCGGCCAGAGCAAGGCGCCTGGAACAGGAGAGACCCCCCACAGAATCCGAGATTTTGGAAATTTGGAAGCGTTACCTCAAGAAGCAAAACCCAAAAAGGATTGGGGTGCGTGTCCGAGTTCGCTTGCTTTTTGCACATTAGCAATAAAAGGCACCAAACCAAACCCAAAACTGTAGTGCTGGTAAGTTTGCTCTATTTATTTGGCTTTAATTTTTGCTTTCATTTTCCCCAAAGTGCTGTTTTAATCGGGACATGACATTAAAAACAAGGATTTTGCACCCGGCTGACTTGGGGCAGGCGGCTGCAGATGCCAAAGGGGCAGGAATGGGACTTGGGCCGTGCAGTTTGTTATTTATTTCCCCCTGGGAGGCATAATTAATTTTATAATTAATTTATAATTAATTAATGTAATAAGTTAATTTTCCTCAGAGCTGCCCTTGTGGTGCCATTCCGCATTTGGGCTTTGGCTGCTCTGAGCCGCAGTCCCATCGCACGCACCTAAAGCACCATTTTTAGTGCCCCAAGCCCCTTTTGGGGGCCCAAAGCCTTCATTTTGGAACCCAAAAGCCACATTTGAGTGTCCACCACCCCATTATAAGAGCCCAAAGCTTCCTTTCGGGGTCCGAACCCCAAACTGCTTTTGAGAGCTCAAGGCACTGGTTTTAAGATCCAAGCGTCTGTTTTACGATCCAAAACATCAAATTAGGATCCAGATCCTGCTTTTTATGGTCCAAAGACTAATTTTTTAGATCAGGGTTATTTCCAGTCTCCTATACCTCATTTCGGGGTCCAAAACTTCCTTCAGAGGGTTTCCACTATTAATTTTAGAGCCTCACGCCTCCTATTTAGGGCCCAAACCCTTCCCTTTAGGGCCCAAACCCTTCCCTTTAGGGCCCAAATCCTACTCTTTTGGGCCCAAATCCCTCCCTTTTGGGCCCAATCCCCTCTCTTCAGGGCCTAAGCCCCGATTTTTAGGGCCCAAGCCCTTCTTTTTCGGGCCCCAGACCTTCTCTTTAGGGCCCAAACCGTTCCCTTCAGGGCAAAACGAAAAAACGATTCTTCATGGCCCAAATTTCCCCCCAAAGACCCAGATGCCCCCCCCCCAAGGCGATCTGGGTGCCCCCCCCATTACAGGGGACCCCCAGGTGTCCCCCCCCCAGTGACAGCGCCGTCCCCTCTGTGTGTGTCCCCCCCCCTGTAGGGGACCCCGGTCCTGGTGTCCCCAAGGGGGGGGTCCCGGTGTCCCCAAAGGACCCCAGCACCTGGGTGACCCCAATGGGGTCCTGGATTTCCAGGGGTTTTAGCCCCCCCCAAAAAAGCAGCCGGGGTTGTGGGTTCTTCCCAAAAGGGGCCAAGGCACGTGGCTGTCCCCAAAATGACCCCAAAAGGGACCTGGATGACCCCAAAAGGGTCCTGGATGACCCCAAAAAGGGGCTTGCATGTCCCAAAAAGGGGACCCTGGCACCCAAAAGGGACCTGGGTGACCCCAAAAGGGACCTGGGTGCCCCAAAAAGGCGCCTGAATGACCCCAAAAAGGGACCTGGGTGCCCCAAAAGGGTCCTGGATGACCCCAAAAAAGGGCTTGGATGTCCCAGAAAGGGGACCCTGGCACCCAAAAGGGACCTGGGTGACCCCAAAAGGGACCTGGGTGCCCCAAAAGGGACCTGAATGACCCCAAAAAGGGACCTGGGTGCCCCAAAAGGCGCCTGAATGACCCCAAAAAGAGACCCGGGCCTCCCCACGAGGTCCCCTGCCATTGGGGTGCCCCAAGTCTGCCCCCTGCCCCCTCCAACAGCTCCCCCGAGGCCCCCCGCATGGTGCAGGCCTACAGGGGCCACAACCACCTCAGCTGGGGCTTCGAGGGGACCGGCACCCCCAAAACCATCACCTGCACCATAAGTGGCCGGGGGGGGGCACAAAGGGGGGGGGGGGCAGGATATTTTTGGGGGGGTTACGGGGTTGTGGGGTCACTTCAAGGAATTTCAGCTTCCATCCTTGAATCAGCTGAACACCCAAACTGAAGTATTAGGCCCGCCATATTGGGGGGTTAGGCCTGAAAATGAGGCATTATCCCCCAAAATTGGGGGTTTAATCCCCCAAATGAGGCATTAGGTCCCCAAAATTGTCGGTTTACCCCCAAAATGAAGCATTAGGCCCCCTAAACTGGGGGGTTTAGACCCCAAAATGAGGCATTAGGCCTGCAATATTGGGGGTTTTAGTCCCCATAATGAGGCATTAGGACCCCAAAATTGTTGGTTTATCCCCAAAATGAAGCATTAGGCCCCCAAAACGGGGGGGTTTTAGCCCCATAAATGAGGCATTAGGCCCGCCATATTGGGGGTTTTAGTCCCATAAATGAGGCATTAGGCTCCCTAAATGGGGGGATTTAATCCCCAAAATGAGGCATTAGGACCCCAAAACTGGGGGGTTGAGCCTGAAAATGAGGCATTAGGCCCCCCAAATTGGGGGTTTAGGCCCAAAATGACACATTAGGCCTCCAAAACTGGGGGGTTAGGCCTGAAAAGGAGGCATTAGGCCTCCAAAACTGGGGGATTTAACCTGAAAATGAGGCATTAGGTCCCCAAAATTGTCGGTTTACCCCCAAAATGAAGCATTAGGCCCCCAAAACTGGGGGGTTTAGCCCCCAAAATAAAGAGGGGGGGGGGGAGGGGATGAGAACCTCATGATCCGGAATAAAGAAATTTATGGCACTTAGGCAAATTTTTGGTAATGTATGAGAAACAAAAAAGCAAGATGTCTTCAGATCTGAATAACTCACCGTTTTTTTTTTAATTTTCTTTTGCTTTTTCAAGGTCCTTTTAACCACCCAGCTGGAACTGGAATTAGGCAAAGCCTACACTTTGCAGTGGAGCTAAAAGCCTGCCACCATCGCGGGTGGCAAAGCTGAGCCAGAATTCCTCACGTTCGCGAATTTTTCCCTTCTCCTCCCTCAAAATACTTTGCACTATTAAAATTTATTAGTTATAATCCCTTGGTTTGACGTTTTTTCCTTGTTCTGAGCTGTGGAATTCTGCCAAGCTGGGGCGTGGCAGGAGGAGGGGACTGCAAAGGACCTCAGGGACTCCAAACTTACAAGGAGCCTTGGGCCCCACTTTTTGGGAGGTGCTGATGGTTTTGGGGGCTTTGAACCTGTCTGGAAAGCAACCTTCACCCCCCTCCTCACGAACGAGCCTCGTAAATAAAAACAAAAACTCAACAGTTTTTTTTGGGATTCCATCGTGTTTTCCTCCACCTCCTTCCTGAGGCAATCGTGTCAGGAAGAACGATGGAAATCTGCGAAGAAAAAGAGAAAAAAATAAGTTTTTAGATTTTTTTTGGCCTTCTTTACCCTCATGGACAGGCTTCAAGCCCTGACACCGATGTCAGGGCCACCGTTTCCCTTGTTTTTCACCTCATATTTTCCCCAGGCCCTGGCCAGCAGCGGGGTTTTGCTCCTAAATTCTGCTAAGCCTGCACAAAAAAAGCCTTTCTTTTCCCAAAAAGCCTTGAAAGCAGCACCCAGCTACAAAAAAAACACCCTCTCCTCTGTGGCCAAGAGCTTTTTGAGGCCTTCCAAACCCTAAAAAACGTGGACTGGTGTTGTCTGTGCGCCAACAGAAGAGAGAAATTTGGGCATTTGAGTCTAGTGCTGGAGGAGACAAAGGTTTGGGGTGGATTGAGCCAACCTGTGGCTCAAAACTGAGATCCCTTTGGAAAGACCCCGCTGTCCCCAAAAAACTCTGCTTCCCTACAAGGCTTGAGCCCCCCAAAATGATGCTGATGTGGATCACCCACCTCTTTTTGCCAACTCCGATGGCCCTCCTCGCTGGGTCGGGCGCTCAAAGCCCGAAGTTTAGGGTGGCCGGGGCCACAAAACGGAGAGCCCCGGCCCAGTTTTTGGCGGTTTGGGTTGGGCTGACACGGGTTTTCGGGGCGCGGGTGCCACCGGGCGGGTGCTGTTGGTGCCGTTCACGGATAATGCCTTCTTCTGAGGTTCTTTTAGCACCGTCCAGAAGGTTTCAGGCCTGTTTTTTAACTTTTCTGCCCCCTCTTTTCCCGGGGGCTGCAGCCTGTAGACGTTGTAGGGGGGCTCCTCGGGGAGGCTGGCCTCCGAGCTGGCCGGTGATGAGACGCTTATCACGGGGAAGGACAGCTCTGTGGGTCCCGGGGGCCGGGGGGGCTTTTTGGCTGCCGGGTTTTCCCCCACGCAGGGGGGAAACATCCCCGCTCCTCTTCCTGCTCTCTGCCTCGAGGCTCCGGGTGTCTTTGCCTGTCCCGTTTTGCCTTTGGGTGACGATTTTTTCGGCCTTGCGAGGAGTCCCCGGGATGGCCGGCAGCCTGATGGAAAAAACAAGAATCCAGGATGGTTTTGGGGTCGCATCCTGCACCCCCCACCCCCTCATGCAGCGCTGGATGCTGCAGCCCTGAAATTTGGGGGGGCTCCCGGTGGCCTCATCCCACCCATTTGGAGCCCCCAGCCTCACCTCAAGGGAGCCTTCCCTGCCTTCTGCGCCTCCCCCTTCAGGGCTGCTTCTTCTGTCGACCCCGTGGGGGCAAGGGAAGGAAGCCCGAGACCTTTGCCTAAAATTTGGGAAGGAGAGGTGTTAGAAGAACATTTCCATGATGCCGCCGTCCCCGGGGACACGCCGGGTGCTGAGGCTGCTCCCCGAGACCCTCCTTGGCACCAGCCCTCGCCCAGCTCCTTTCTAAGCCTCAATATTTTTTTTTTGGGGCCGAGTTCTGGGAGAAAGGAGCTGGCTACGGCCAATTTTAGGGGGTGTCTTGATCCCCGTCCTCCTGCAGCGCCCAGGGCCGGGCACATCAGGCACCTCGCACCCGGGGGCTCCGTTTTGGAGGCGCGGTGACAAGATGTGGTGCAAGGCAGAGCTTTTGGGTGCTCCACGATGGGTTTTCTCACCAGGAGTCGGTTCCCCGTCCCTTCGAAGGGAACCAGCAGCTGCTTTTCTTCCCCCAGCTTGGCCAAGAAGAGGAAAAGCCCCTTCTTTCTTCTCCTTGGAGTGCTCCTGGGGCGTTTTTTTGGGCATGCTCTCCATCTCAAACCTGGCAAAAGAAGACCTCAGCGTGACCCCAGGGCGCGCCACAATCACCCCATTTCCACGTTGCCATCAAAGCCCCATCCCCAAATTCCTTCCTGGACTTTGCAATGGGCTCGTCCAGCAAAGAAGCACCCATGGGTGCAAGGAGAACCCGAGCAGCGGCCACAGCCACAAAAATACTCACTCGGGGAAGACGATGACACGGCCAGAGAAGGTCAGGGAGGCCAAGGGTGCCCCCCGGGACACCACCACGTCCATCAGCTGGGGGACCTGCAAGGAGATGGCAAATGTCCTCTGGCCTCGGTCGTGGCCAAAAACTCCAACCCAAAAGGTCTCGGTGGGCCAAGGGCAAGCGTTGCTACCCCTTTGTGAGGCTGCCCAGGCCGTGGGGAAAACAAAACCCTCACCTTGAAAAGAGCCTTCTGAAGGTTCTCCTTCCCGGACAGCTTCTGCAGGAAGTCGGAATAGAATTTCATTTCCACCCTCGTGCCTTCGATGAGGAGCACCCCCATGTCCCTCAGGACCAGGGCGATGTTCTCCCCCTTCCCCACGCAGCGAGAGATGAGGGACGTGGTGCCCTGGATGCAGCTCTCCACCCTCTGCGAGGACAGGCAGATTTGGGGCGGCCACCTCGGGGTAGTGGAGGGGCTCCAGCTCCTTGTGGCCTGGAAAACGACACGAGAGGGATGGGGGCGGTCACCAGCAGCCCTTCCCCGTGGCAGGCGTCACCCAAAAAGGCTTCGGTTTGGGACCTTGTGGTGGGTTTTGGATAGAAAAGGTTTGGCAGCAGGGGGGCACGGGGAGGGGGGTGCTGTGAGAGGGATCTAGAAGCTGCCCCGTGTTGGGGAAGGGTCCTGCTGCTGGCCAGAGCCTGGGCAGTAAGCGAGGCTTTTTGTGCCTCTGGGAGAGCAGATTGGAGACAGAGAAAATAAAAAACTGAAAACAAACAAACAAACAAACCAAAACAAAACAAACACAAACAAACCACCACCACCACCACCAACAAAAAAAAAACAAACAAACCAAAAAACCCACAAACAAACCAACCAACCAAACAAAAAAAAAAAACAAAACAAAACACAAACAAACCAACAAAAACAAAACAAAACAAACAAACAAACAACAAAAACAAAAACAAACAAAAAAAACACAAACAAAAAACACACAAACAAACCAACAAAAAAAACAAAAAACAAAAACAAAACAAAAACAAAACAAAGAAACAAACAAACAAAACAAAACAAAACAAAACACAAAAACAACAACAACAACAAAACACAAACAAACAAACAAACAAACAAAATCTGCTGGGGGATGGCAGCTGGGGGAGCGAGGGGTGAGGAACAGCCTCACAGACACCCAGGGCAGTGAAGGAGGAGGGGGAGAAGCCCCCCTGCAGCCTGTAGGGGGGTCCCTGGTGGAGCAGAGCTGTCCCCCTGCACCCATGGGTGCCACACGGAGCAGATCTCCGCGCTGCAGCCCCTGCAGAGGAGCCCACGCAGGAGGAGGGCGTCTGGGGGGAGCTGCTGCCTGTGGGGGACCCAGGATGGAGCAGTTTGGGACGGGGGGGGACCCCGTGGGACGGAGCCGTGTGGGAGCTAATCCTTATCTCAACTTTGAGCCCTTTTCACATCTTTTCTCCCCTCTTTGAGGAGGGGGAGTGAGAAAGGGGCTGTGGTTGAGCTCAGCCGCCCACCCGAGTCAAACCACCACGGTCCTGCTCCATGCAGGGGATGCTTTGATTTATTTTTTTGGGGGGAAACACCTGATATTGAGGGAGGGGGTCAGCAGGGGATTAACCCCCTGCCCTACCTGGCAGGTACTCCTTGTTGGCGGTGAGGCTGTGGGTGACGACGAGGTTCCTGGCCAGGCGGAACGTGGGCATCTGCAAAATCAGGGTCTTGTTCCCGTCCTTCACCAATTTGGGGACAACGTCGAAGGAGCCGAGGGCAGGAATTCGGACGCCCTGGAAATGGCAGAGAAAAGAAAGAAAAATGGTTAAGGATCAGACGTCACACCGCCTACCACAACCGCGCTTGTGCGATGCCTGTGGGGCTTTTTGGGGTGAGTTTCCTGCTTTTCAGGAGGGGAACGAGGGGGACGGGGGTGCCAACCCACCTGGTGCAGCAGGAGGTGTTCGTGGATGTAGGCTGACACCGCATCCCAGACGCTTATTTTCTCTGAAAGGCAAAAAAAAATCTGGTCACACACCGCCTCTCGTGGCTACCACCCTTCCATCACCCCAAAACCCGCGTTGCATAAAGATCCATCACATCCCCGACCCCAAAAAACAGAGACCCTACCACACAGAGCCAGGTCTCCCCGCCACGAGAAGACCCAAATTTAGGCGCCTACCAAAACCCACGTTACATAAAGATCCATCACATCCCCAACCCCAAAAAGAGACCTCCACACAGAGCCAGGTCTCCCCGCCACAAAAAGCCCCAAATTTCGGCACCTACCCTTGGAGGTGATGCTGGGCGTGAGGCACGGGACCTTCATCCCATCCCAGAAGTGGACGGGGTCCGCCTCACGGTGGGCAGCACCTCGTCGGCAAAAGTGACGCGTTTTTGCATCCTTGCGCTCGCTCTCCGGATATTTCTCCAGAGATGAAGGGTCCCTGCGCCACCCCCCACCCCTTTTATACCCTGCCACCGCCCCCCGCCCCATTGTGACACGGCTAATGAGGTCATCACTTACGTCATAACTGCCAACAGGGCCACCGTCACCATGACTGTAATACACCATAAATGTTTGTCCCTCCCTTTAGTGACCAAACCCCTCCTTTTAGGGCCCAAACCACTCCCTTCAGGGCCTAAAGCCCTCCCTTCAGGCCCAAACCCCTCCCGTCAGGCCCAAACCCCTCTCTTCAGGCCCCAAACCCCTCTCTTTAGGGCTCAAACCCCACTTTTTCCGGCCCAAACCCTTCTGCTTTTTAAGCCCCACACCCTCTCTTTAAGGCCCAAACCCTTCTTCTCCTTAGGCCCCAAACCCCTCTCTTTAGGCCCCAAACCCTTCTTTTTCAGGCCCAAAACCCTCTCTTCAGGCCCCAAACCCCTCTCCTTAGCCCCCAAACCCCTCAAATTTAGGCCCCAAGCCCGTCTCTTCAGGGCCTAAGCCCTGGTCTGTCGGCTCCAAGGGTGGATTGTTCAGAGGACGAGCGCAGGGATGAGCCTGAACGCGACCTCTGCCAAGGAGAGGAAACCCTCCTGCATGAAGCCGACCCGGGTAGAGCTGTGGGACGGCATGCAGCGCAGGTGCCTGATGCCCAACATCACCGCCAAAGGTACGGGTACCACAGGAGTAGTGTTGGCAACCACATTTGGGGCTTTCCTTGGGCGAGACCCAGTGGCGGAGCCATGACGGGGTGTCTCCGCTGGGGCTTTTCATCTGCCACCGAACCCCGGCTCTGGGGGTGCTGCTGGAGCTGTGGGACCACGAGACCCAGCGTGAGCAGGCACCAAACATCGGGTCTCGGGGTGCTGCTGGAGGTGTGGGACCACCAGACACACTGTGACCAGATTTTCCTTTGCTTTCCAGAGCAAACAGATGTCTGGAATGTGGTGGCCACTCGCAGGGCATCCGAATCCCCACTCTGGGCTCCTTTGACATAATCCAAAACCAGATCCAAGCTGGGGACAAGGCGATGACTTTGCAGTGGCCAGTGTTTCACCTGGCCACGAACCTCATAAACATGCACCACCTTGAGGACAGCAACGGCAGCCTGCCAGGTAAGGCGGTGGATGAAACCTTGCTGGCTGCACGGCCGGGGCATGTGGGGCATGGCCTCCGTGCTCAAAAGCCAAGCCACGGAGCCAGCCAAAGCTGGGGCAATTCGGGTGATGGCTGCAACGAGCAGCACGTGGGGGAAACGCGTGAAGGGCCGCCGGGTGACTAACGCCATCCCTCCCATGTACTTTTCCAGCCCACAAGAAGCTGGAGCCCCTGAGACGGGAGCACCCGCCTGGCACCGCAGCCGCAGCACGGCCTCAGCAATTCCTGTCCCCGCCGGCGCCTCGCCGCAGCCCAGGCAGCCCAGAGCTCCTTCAGCCCATCCAGGAGGCCTAAACACCGTGCTAGGCCTGAGAGCCAGGCCCGACGCCAGCGGCCACCAGCAGTGCCTGGAAGACCTGCCCGCCTGCCACCAGCCCGGCCTCCGCGGCCCCCACGGCCCCCATGCCTGGCACAATAACATGGGAAGGCACGGGACGGGCCACCAGCAGTGCCTGGAAGACCTGCCCGCCTGCCACCAGCCCGGCCTCCGCGGCCCCCACGGCCCCCATGCCTGGCACAATAACATGGGAAGGCACGGGACGGGCCACCAGCAGTGCCTGGAAGACCTGCCCGCCTGCCACCAGCCCGGCCTCCGCGGCCCCCACGGCCCCCATGCCTGGCACAATAACAGCAAACCCCTCTCTTTAGGGCCCAAAACCCTCTCTTTAGGGCCCAAACCCTGCTCTTTGAGGCCCAAACCCCTCTCTTTGGGGCCCAAACCCCTCTCTTTAGGCCCAAACCCCTCTCTTTAGGCCCAAACCCCTCCCTTCAGGCCCAAAACCTCACTTTAGGCCCCAAACCCCTCTCTTTAGGCTCAAAACCCTTCTTTTTCAGGCCCAAAACCCTCTCTTCAGGTCCCAAACCCCTCTCTTTAGGCCCAAACCCCTCTCTTTGGGGCCCAAACCCCTCTCTTTAGGCCCAAACCCCTCTCTTTAGGCCCAAACCCCTCCCGTCAGGCCCAAAGCCTCTCTTTAGGCCCCAAACCCCTCTCTTTAGGGCTCAAACCCCACTTTTTCCGGCCCAAACCCTTCTGCTTTTTAAGCCCCACACCCTCTCTTTAAGGCCCAAACCCTTCTTCTCCTTAGGCCCCAAACCCCTCTCTTTAGGCCCCAAACCCTTCTTTTTCAGGCCCCAAACCCTCTCTTCAGGCCCCAAAACCCTCTCCTTAGCCCCCAAACCCCTCAAATTTAGGCCCCAAGCCCGTCTCTTCAGGGCCTAAGCCCTGGTCTGTCGGCTCCAAGAGTGGATTGTTCAGAGGACGAGCGCAGGGATGAGCCTGAACGCGACCTCTGCCAAGGAGAGGAAACCCTCCTGCATGAAGCCGACCCGGGTAGAGCTGTGGGACGGCATGCAGCGCAGGTGCCTGATGCCCAACATCACCGCCAAAGGGACGGGCACAGCTGGGCACAGCCTGTTGTCCCCACATCTCGGTGGCTTCCCCAAAACTGAGCCCTGGGGTGGGAAATGGCCACGGTGCCTGAGCAGGAGGATGGGGGTCGGAGACCCTATGCACCCCCCTGGGACCGATGTCGGCAGCAGCAGCACCCCACTTCTGACCATGTCCGTCCTTTCCAGCCTCAGGGGGATTGCTCGACATGCCTTTCACCGTGCGCGCGAGCATCCCGAAACACGAGCTCCAAAGGCTGAAGGAAACCAAAGCACAGGAGAACAAGAAGGAATCTGGGATCAGGTGAGGCCGGAGGCTCACGGTTGTCTTCTCCCCAGCAGGGAACCCCTCGCCCAGCCCCAAACACTCCGGGCTGGGGCCACCCCAAATTGCTGAAAGCAGCACCCGGAGGGGTGGATGGGGCCCGTGGTGTGCAAGCAGGGTCATGTTTTCAGGGTGCGGGATGCGGCCCCAGTGCCATCGTGTGCTCATGCAGACATTTTTGATGTGTTTTCAGCCAGCTGCCAGCAATCCCGGGGCTGCCTCTTGCCAAAAACCAGCCTTTGGCCAGCCAAGAGCAGGACAAACTCACAGCCTGAAGCGGAACACCAGGGATGGACAAAATGGGGCCATCGACATCTCAGGGGGTCCCAGGAGAAGAATGAAGAGTGGACATTCTGCCCACCCTGGACAGCACATCCGAGACGCTGGAACCCAAACCGGCCAGAGCAAGGCGCCTGGAACAGGAGAGACCCCCCACAGAATCCAAGATTTTGGAAATTTGGAAGCGTTGCCTCAAGAAGCAAAACCCAAAAAGGATTGGGGTGCGTGTCCGAGTTCGCTTGCTTTTTGCACATTAGCAATAAAAGGCACCAAACCAAACCCAAAACCGTAGTGCTGGCAAGTTTGCTCTATTTATTTGGCTTTAATTTTTGCTTTCATTTTCCCCAAAGTGCTGTTTTAATCGGGACATGACATTAAAAACAAGGATTTGCACCCGGCTGACTTGGGGCAGGCGGCTGCAGATGCCAAAGGGGCAGGAATGGGACTTGGGCCGTGCAGTTTGTTATTTATTTCCCCCTGGGAGGCATAATTAATTTTATAATTAATTTATAATTAATTAATGTAATAAGTTAATTTTCCTCAGAGCTGCCCTTGTGGTGCCATTCCGCATTTGGGCTTTGGCTGCTCTGAGCCGCAGTCCCATCGCACGCACCTAAAGCACCATTTTTAGTGCCCCAAGCCCCTTTTGGGGGCCCAAAGCCTTCATTTTGGAACCCAAAAGCCACATTTGAGTGTCCACCACCCCATTATAAGAGCCCAAAGCTTCCTTTCGGGGTCCGAACCCCAAACTGCTTTTGAGAGCTCAAGGCACTGGTTTTAAGATCCAAGCGTCTGTTTTACGATCCAAAACATCAAATTAGGATCCAGATCCTGCTTTTTATGGTCCAAAGACTAATTTTTTAGATCAGGGTTATTTCCAGTCTCCTATACCTCATTTTGGGGTCCAAAACTTCCTTCAGAGGGTTTCCACTATTAATTTTAGAGCCTCACGCCTCCTATTTAGGGCCCAAACCCTTCCCTTTAGGGCCCAAACCCTTCCCTTTAGGGCCCAAATCCTACTCTTTAGGACCCAAATCCCTCCCTTTTGGGCCCAATCCCCTCTCTTCAGGGCCTAAGCCCCGATTTTTAGGGCCCAAGCCCTTCTTTTCGGGCCCCAGACCTTCTCTTTAGGGCCCAAACCGTTCCCTTCAGGGCAAAACGAAAAAACGATTCTTCAGGGCCCAAATTTCCCCCCAGAGACCCAGATGCCCCCCCCCCCAAGGCGATCTGGGTGCCCCCCCCATTACAGGGGACCCCCAGGTGTCCCCCCCCAGTGACAGCGCCGTCCCCTCTGTGTGTGTCCCCCCCCCTGTAGGGGACCCCAGTCCTGGTGTCCCCAAGGGGGGGGTCCCGGTGTCCCCAAAGGACCCCAGCACCTGGGTGACCCCAATGGGGTCCCGGATTTCCAGGGGTCCCCCCCCAAAAAAAGCAGCCGGGGTTGTGGGTTCTTCCCAAAAGGGGCCAAGGCACCCGGCTGTCCCCAAAATGACCCCAAAAGGGACCTGGATGACCCCAAAAAGGGGCTTGGATGTCCCCAAAAAGGGACCTGGGTATCCCCAAAAAGGGGCCCTGACACCCAGCTGTCCCCAAAAGGGACCTAGATGACCCCAAAAAGGACCTGTGTGTCCCGAAAAAAAGGGAACCTGGCACCCAAATGGGTCCTGAATGACCCCAAAAAGGGACCTGGGTCCACAAAAGGGTCCTGAATGACCCCCAAAAGGGACCTGGGTGCCCCAAAAGCATCCTGGATGACCCCAAAAAGCTGGGCTTCCAGGAGACCGGCACTTCCAAAACCGTCACCTGCACCGTACGTGGCCGGGGGGGGCACAGGGGAGGGGGCAGGATTTTTTGGGGGGGAGTTACGGGGTTGTGGGGTCACCCAGGAGGCCCCATAAGGGTCCCACAAGGGGTCCTGGTCAAGACTGCTTTCCGAGAGATCCCAGCCAAACTGGGGTTTTAGCCCCCAAAATGAGGCATTAGGCCCCCAGAATTGTCGGTTTATCCCCAAAATGAAGCATTGGGGACCTGGGTGACCCCAAAAGGGACCTGGGTTCCACAAAAGGGTTCTGAATGACCCCAAAAAGGGGCTTGGATGTCCCAAAAAGGCGACCCTGGCACCCAAAAGGGACCTGGATGACCCCAAAAGGGACGTGCGTGCCCCAAAAGGGTCCTGAATGACCCCAAAAAGGGACCTGGGTGCCCCAAAAGGCGCCTGAATGACCCCAAAAAGGGACCTGGGTGCCCCGAAAGGGTCCTGGATGACCCCAAAAAGGGGTTGGATGTCCCAAAAAGGCGACCCTGGCACCCAAAAGGGACCTGGGTGACCCCAAAAGGGACCTGGGTGCCCCAAAAAGGGACCTGGGTGCCCCAAAAGGGACCTGGGTGACCCCAAAAGGCGCCTGAATGACCCCAAAAAGGGACCCGGGCCTCCCCACGAGGTCCCCTGCCACTGGGGTGCCCCCAAGGCTGCCCCCTGTCCCCCTCCCCAGCAGGACCTGTGCCCCCTGGAGCTGAGCGAGCCCCCCCCCGAACCTCCCCCCCCAACACTGACCCCCCCCCCTTTAACAGCTCCCCCCGAGCCCCCCCCCCATGGTGCCGGCCTACAGGGGCCACAACCACCTCAGCTGGGGCTTCGAGGGGACCGGCACCCCCAAAACCATCACCTGCACCATAAGTGGCCGGCCGGGGGGGGCACAAGGGAGGGGGCAGGATTTTTTGGGGGGGGTTACGGGGTTGTGGGGTCACTTCAAGGAATTTCAGCTTCCATCCTTGAATCAGCTGAACACCCAAACTGAAGTATTAGGCCCGCCATATTGGGGGGTTAGGCCTGAAAATGAGGCATTATCCCCCAAAACTGGGGGTTTAATCCCCAAAATGAGGCATTAGGTCCCCAAAATTGTCGGTTTACCCCCAAAATGAAGCATTAGGCCCCCTAAACTGGGGGGTTTAGCCCCCAAAATGAGGCATTAGGCCCGCCATATTGGGGGTTTTAGTCCCCATAATGAGGCATTAGGACCCCAAAATTCATAGAATCATAGAATCATAGATTATCCCCAAAATGAAGCATTAGGCCCCCAAAACGGGGGGGTTTTAGCCCCATAAATGAGGCATTAGGCCTACCATATTGGGGGTTTTAGTCCCATAAATGAGGCATTAGGCTCCCTAAATGGGGGGATTTAATCCCCAAAATGAGGCATTAGGCCTCCAAAACTGGGGGGTTGAGCCTGAAAATGAGGCATTAGGTCCCCAAAATTGTCGGTTTACCCCCAAAATGAAGCATTAGGCCCCAAAACTGGGGGGTTTAGCCCCCAAAATAAAGAGGGGGGGGGGGAGGGGATGAGAACCTCATGATCCGGAATAAAGAAATTTATGGCACTTAGGCAAAGTTTTGGTAATGTATGAGAAACAAAAAAGCAAGATGTCTTCAGATCTGAATAACTCACCGTTTTTTTTTTAATTTCTTTTGCTTTTTCAAGGTCCTTTTAACCACCCAGCTGGAACTGGAATTAGGCAAAGCCTACACTTTGCAGTGGAGCTAAAAGCCTGCCACCATCGCGGGTGGCAAAGCTGAGCCAAAATTCCTCACGTTCGCGAATTTTTCCCTTCTCCTCCCTCAAAATACTTTGCACTATTAAAATTTATTAGTTATAATCCCTTGGTTTGACGTTTTTTTCCTTGTTCTGAGCTGTGGAATTCTGCCAAGCTGGGGCGTGGCAGGAGGAGGGGACTGCAAAGGACCTCAGGGACTCCAAACTTACAAGGAGCCTTGGGCCCCACTTTTTGGGAGGTGCTGATGGTTTTGGGGGCTTTGAACCTGTCTGGAAAGCAACCTTCACCCCCCTCCTCACGAACGAGCCTCGTAAATAAAAACAAAAACTCAACAGTTTTTTTGGGATTCCATCGTGTTTTCCTCCACCTCCTTCCTGAGGCAATCGTGTCAGGAAGAACGATGGAAATCTGCGAAGAAACAGAGAAAAAAAATCACTTTTTAGATTTTTTTTTAGCCTTCTATACCCTCATGCACAGGCTTCAAGTCCTGACAACCGATGTCAGGGCCACCGTTTCCCTTGCTTCAAGTCCTGACACCGATGTCAGGGCCACCGTTTCCCTTGTTTTTCACCTCATATTTTCCCCAGGCCCTGGCCAGCAGCGGGGTTTTGCTCCTAAATTCTGCTAGGCCCGCACAAAAAAAGCCTTTCTTTTCCCAAAAAGCCTTGAAAGCAGCACCCAGCTACAAAAAAACACCCTCTCCTCTGTGGCCAAGAGCTTTTTGAGGCCTTCCAAACCCTAAAAAACGTGGACTGGTGTTGTCTGTGCGCCAACAGAAGAGAGAAATTTGGGCATTTGAGTCTAGTTCTGGAGGAGACAAAGGTTTGGGGTGGATTGAGCCAACCCGTGGCTCAAAACTGAGATCCCTTTGGAAAGACCCCGCTGTCCCCAAAAAACTCTGCTTCCCTACAAGGCTTGAGCCCCCCAAAATGATGCTGATGTGGATCACCCACCTCTTTTTGCCAACTCCGATGGCCTCCTCGCTGGGTCGGGCGCTCAAAGCCCGAAGTTTAGGGTGGCCGGGGCCACAAAACGGAGAGCCCCGGCCCAGTTTTTGGCGGTTTGGGTTGGGCTGACACGGGTTTTCGGGGCGCGGGTGCCACCGGGCGGGTGCTGTTGGTGCCGTTCACGGATAACGCCTTCTTCTGAGGTTCTTTTAGCACCGTCCAGAAGGTTTCGGGCCTGTTTTTTAACCTTTCTGCCCCCTCTTTTCCCGGGGGCTGCAGCCTGTAGACGTTGTAGGGGGGCTCCTCGGGGAGGCTGGCCTCCGAGCTGGCCGGTGATGAGACGCTTATCACGGGGAAGGACAGCTCTGTGGGTCCCGGGGGCCGGGGGGGCTTTTTGGCTGCCGGGTTTTCCCCCACGCAGGGGGGAAACATCCCCGCTCCTCTTCCTGCTCTCTGCCTCGAGGCTCCGGGTGTCTTTGCCTGTCCCGTTTTGCCTTTGGGTGACGATTTTTCGGCCTTGCGAGGAGTCCCCGGGATGGCCGGCAGCCTGATGGAAAAAACAAGAATCCAGGATGGTTTTGGGGTCGCATCCTGCACCCCCCACCCCCTCATGCAGCGCTGGATGCTGCAGCCCTGAAATTTGGGGGGGCTCCCGGTGGCCTCATCCCACCCATTTGGAGCCCCCAGCCTCACCTCAAGGGAGCCTTCCCTGCCTTCTGCGCCTCCCCCTTCAGGGCTGCTTCTTCTGTCGACCCCGTGGGGGCAAGGGAAGGAAGCCCGAGACCTTTGCCTAAAATTTGGGAAGGAGAGGTGTTAGAAGAACATTTCCGTGATGCCGCCGTCCCCGGGGACACGCCGGGTGCTGAGGCTGCTCCCCGAGACCCTCCTTGGCACCAGCCCTCGCCCAGCTCCTTTCTAAGCCTCAATATTTTTTTTTTTGGGGCCGAGTTCTGGGAGAAAGGAGCTGGCTACGGCCAATTTTAGGGGGTGTCTTGATCCCCGTCCTCCTGCAGCGCCCAGGGCCGGGCACATCAGGCACCTCGCACCCGGGGGCTCCGTTTTGGAGGCGCGGTGACAAGATGTGGTGCAAGGCAGAGCTTTTGGGTGCTCCACGATGGGTTTTCTCACCAGGAGTCGGTTCCCCGTCCCTTCGAAGGGAACCAGCAGCTGCTTTTCTTCCCCCAGCTTGGCCAAGAAGAGGAAAAGCCCCTTCTTTCTTCTCCTTGGAGTGCTCCTGGGGCGTTTTTTTGGGCATGCTCTCCATCTCAAACCTGGCAAAAGAAGACCTCAGCGTGACCCCAGGGCGCGCCACAATCACCCCATTTCCACGTTGCCATCAAAGCCCCATCCCCAAATTCCTTCCTGGACTTTGCAATGGGCTCGTCCAGCAAAGAAGCACCCATGGGTGCAAGGAGAACCCGAGCAGCGGCCACAGCCACAAAAATACTCACTCGGGGAAGACGATGACACGGCCAGAGAAGGTCAGGGAGGCCAAGGGTGCCCCCCGGGACACCACCACGTCCATCAGCTGGGGGACCTGCAAGGAGATGGCAAATGTCCTCTGGCCTCGGTCGTGGCCAAAAACTCCAACCCAAAAGGTCTCGGTGGGCCAAGGGCAAGCGTTGCTACCCCTTTGTGAGGCTGCCCAGGCCGTGGGGAAAACAAAACCCTCACCTTGAAAAAGGCTTTTTGAAGGTTCTCCTTCCCGGACAGCTTCTGCAGGAAGTCGGAATAGAATTTCATTTCCACCCTCGTGCCTTCGATGAGGAGCACCCCCACGTCCCTCAGGACCAGGGCGATGTTCTCCCCCTTCCCCACGCAGCGAGAGATGAGGGACGTGGTGCCCTGGATGCAGCTCTCCACCCTCTGCGAGGACAGGCAGATTTGGGCGGCCACCTCGGGGTAGTGGAGGGGCTCCAGCTCCTTGTGGCCTGGAAAACGACACGAGAGGGATGGGGGCGGTCACCAGCAGCCCTTCCCCGTGGCAGGCGTCACCCAAAAAGGCTTCGGTTTGGGACCTTGTGGTGGGTTTTGGATAGAAAAGGTTTGGCAGCAGGGGGGCACGGGGAGGGGGGTGCTGTGAGAGGGATCTAGAAGCTGCCCCGTGTTGGGGAAGGGTCCTGCTGCTGGCCAGAGCCTGGGCAGTAAGCGAGGCTTTTTGTGCCTCTGGGAGAGCAGATTGGAGACAGAGAAAATAAAAAACTGAAAACAAACAAACAAACAAAACAAAACAAAAGAAAACACAAACAAACCACCACCACCACCAACAAAAAAAAAAAAACAAACAAACCAAAAAACCCACAAACAAACCAACCAACCAAACAAAAAAAAAAAAACAAAACAAAACACAAACAAACCAACAAAAACAAAACAAAACAAACAAACAAACAACAAAAACAAAAACAAACAAAAAAACACAAACAAAAAACACACAAACAAACCAACAAAAAAAACAAAAAACAAAAACAAAACAAAAACAAAACAAAGAAACAAACAAACAAAACAAAACAAAACAAAACACAAAAACAACAACAACAACAAAACACAAACAAACAAACAAACAAAATCTGCTGGGGGATGGCAGCTGGGGGAGCGAGGGGTGAGGAACAGCCTCACAGACACCCAGGGCAGTGAAGGAGGAGGGGGAGAAGCCCCCCTGCAGCCTGTAGGGGGGTCCCTGGTGGAGCAGAGCTGTCCCCCTGCACCCATGGGTGCCACACGGAGCAGATCTCCGCGCTGCAGCCCCTGCAGAGGAGCCCACGCAGGAGGAGGGCGTCTGGGGGGAGCTGCTGCCTGTGGGGGACCCAGGATGGAGCAGTTTGGGACGGGGGGGGACCCCGTGGGACGGAGCCGTGTGGGAGCTAATCCTTATCTCAACTTTGAGCCCTTTTCACATCTTTTCTCCCCTCTTTGAGGAGGGGGAGTGAGAAAGGGGCTGTGGTTGAGCTCAGCCGCCCACCCGAGTCAAACCACCACGGTCCTGCTCCATGCAGGGGATGCTTTGATTTATTTTTGGGGGGGGAAACACCTGATATTGAGGGAGGGGGTCAGCAGGGGATTAACCCCCTGCCCTACCTGGCAGGTACTCCTTGTTGGCGGTGAGGCTGTGGGTGACGACGAGGTTCCTGGCCAGGCGGAACGTGGGCATCTGCAAAATCAGGTCTTGTTCCCGTCCTTCACCAATTTGGGGACAACGTCGAAGGAGCCGAGGGCAGGAATTCGGACGCCCTGGAAATGGCAGAGAAAAGAAAGAAAAATGGTTAAGGATCAGACGTCACACCGCCTACCACAACCGCGCTTGTGCGATGCCTGTGGGGCTTTTTGGGGTGAGTTTCCTGCTTTTCAGGAGGGGAACGAGGGGGACGGGGGTGCCAACCCACCTGGTGCAGCAGGAGGTGTTCGTGGATGTAGGCTGACACCGCATCCCAGACGCTTATTTTCTCTGAAAGGCAAAAAAAAATCTGGTCACACACCGCCTCTCGTGGCTACCACCCTTCCATCACCCCAAAACCCGCGTTGCATAAAGATCCATCACATTCCCGACCCCAAAAAACAGAGACCCTACCACACAGAGCCAGGTCTCCCCGCCACGAGAAGACCCAAATTTAGGCGCCTACCAAAACCCACGTTACATAAAGATCCATCACATCCCCAACCCCAAAAAGAGACCTCCACACAGAGCCAGGTCTCCCCGCCACAAAAAGCCCCAAATTTCGGCACCTACCCTTGGAGGTGATGCTGGGCGTGAGGCACGGGACCTTCATCCCATCCCAGAAGTGGACGGGGGTCCGCCTCACGTTGGGCAGCACCTCGTCGGCAAAAGTGACGCGTTTTTGCATCCTTGCGCTCGCTCTCCGGATATTTCTCCAGAGATGAAGGGTCCCTGCGCCACCCCCCACCCCTTTTATACCCTGCCACCGCCCCCCGCCCCATTGTGACACGGCTAATGAGGTCATCACTTACGTCATAACTGCCAACAGGGCCACCGTCACCATGACTGTAATACACCATAAATGTTTGTCCCTCCCTTTAGTGACCAAACCCCTCCTTTTAGGGCCCAAACCACTCCCTTCAGGGCCTAAAGCCCTCCCTTCAGGCCCAAACCCTCCCGTCAGGCCCAAACCCCTCTCTTCAGGCCCCAAACCCCTCTCTTTAGGGCTCAAACCCCACTTTTTCCGGCCCAAACCCTTCTGCTTTTTAAGCCCCACACCCTCTCTTTAAGGCCCAAACCCTTCTTCTCCTTAGGCCCCAAACCCCTCTCTTTAGGCCCCAAACCCTTCTTTTTCAGGCCCCAAACCCTCTCTTCAGGCCCCAAAACCCTCTCCTTAGCCCCCAAACCCCTCAAATTTAGGCCCCAAGCCCGTCTCTTCAGGGCCTAAGCCCTGGTCTGTCGGCTCCAAGGGTGGATTGTTCAGAGGACGAGCGCAGGGATGAGCCTGAACGCGACCTCTGCCAAGGAGAGGAAACCCTCCTGCATGAAGCCGACCCGGGTAGAGCTGTGGGACGGCATGCAGCGCAGGTGCCTGATGCCCAACATCACCGCCAAAGGTACGGGTACCACAGGAGTAGTGTTGGCAACCACATTTGGGGCTTTTCCTTGGGCGAGACCCAGTGGCGGAGCCATGACGGGGTGTCTCCGCTGGGGCTTTTCATCTGCCACCGAACCCCGGCTCTGGGGGTGCTGCTGGAGCTGTGGGACCACGAGACCCAGCGTGAGCAGGCACCAAACATCGGGTCTCGGGGTGCTGCTGGAGGTGTGGGACCACCAGACACACTGTGACCAGATTTTCCTTTGCTTTCCAGAGCAAACAGATGTCTGGAATGTGGTGGCCACTCGCAGGGCATCCGAATCCCCACTCTGGGCTCCTTTGACATAATCCAAAACCAGATCCAAGCTGGGGACAAGGCGATGACTTTGCAGTGGCCAGTGTTTCACCTGGCCACGAACCTCATAAACATGCACCACCTTGAGGACAGCAACGGCAGCCTGCCAGGTAAGGCGGTGGATGAAACCTTGCTGGCTGCACGGCCGGGGCATGTGGGGCATGGCCTCCGTGCTCAAAAGCCAAGCCACGGAGCCAGCCCAAAGCTGGGGCAATTCGGGTGATGGCTGCAACGAGCAGCACGTGGGGGAAACGCGTGAAGGGCCGCCGGGTGACTAACGCCATCCCTCCCATGTACTTTTCCAGCCCACAAGAAGCTGGAGCCCCTGAGACGGGAGCACCCGCCTGGCACCGCAGCCGCAGCACGGCCTCAGCAATTCCTGTCCCCGCCGGCGCCTCGCCGCAGCCCAGGCAGCCCAGAGCTCCTTCAGCCCATCCAGGAGGCCTAAACACCGTGCTAGGCCTGAGAGCCAGGCCCGACGCCAGCGGCCACCAGCAGTGCCTGGAAGACCTGCCCGCCTGCCACCAGCCCGGCCTCCGCGGCCCCCACGGCCCCCATGCCTGGCACAATAACATGGGAAGGCACGGGACGGGCCACCAGCAGTGCCTGGAAGACCTGCCCGCCTGCCACCAGCCCGGCCTCCGCGGCCCCCACGGCCCCCATGCCTGGCACAATAACATGGGAAGGCACGGGACGGGCCACCAGCAGTGCCTGGAAGACCTGCCCACCTGCCACCAGCCCGGCCTCCGCGGCCCCCACGGCCCCCATGCCTGGCACAATAACATGGGAAGGCACGGGACGGGCCACCAGCAGTGCCTGGAAGACCTGCCCGCCTGCCACCAGCCCGGCCTCCGCGGCCCCCACGGCCCCCATGCCTGGCACAATAACATGGGAAGGCACGGGACGGGCCACCAGCAGTGCCTGGAAGACCTGCCCGCCTGCCACCAGCCTGGCCTCCGCGGCCCCCACGGCCCCCATGCCTGGCACAAATAACAGCAAACCCCTCTCTTTATGGCCCAAAACCCTCTCTTTAGGGCCAAAACCCTGCTCTTTGAGGCCCAAACCCCTCTCTTTAGGCCCAAACCCCTCTCTTTAGGCCCAAACCCCTCCCTTCGGGCCCAAACACCTCTCTTTAGGCCCCAAACCCCTCTCTTTAGGCCCAAACCCTTCTTTTTTCAGGCCCCAAACCCTCTCTTCAGGCCCCAAACCCCTCTCTTTAGGGCTCAAACCCCACTTTTTCCGGCCCAAACCCTTCTGCTTTTTAAGCTCCACACCCTCTCTTTAAGGCCCAAACCCTTCTGCTTTTTAAGCCCCACACCCTCTCTTTAAGGCCCAAACCCTTCTTCTCCTTAGGCCCCAAACCCCTCTCTTTAGGCCCCAAACCCTTCTTTTTCAGGCCCCACACCCTCTCTTTAAGGCCCAAACCCTTCTTCTCCTTAGGCCCCAAACCCCTCTCTTTAGGCCCCAAAACCCTTCTTTTTCAGGCCCCACACCCTCTCTTAAGGCCCAACCCTTCTTCTCCTTAGGCCCGAAACCCCTCTCTTTAGGCCCCAAACCCTTCTTTTTCAGGCCCAAAACCCTCTCTTCAGGCCCCAAACCCCTCTCCTTAGCCCCCAAACCCCTCTCTTTAGGCCCCAAGCCCTTCTCTTCAGGGTTTTAGTCCCCAATATGAAGCATCAGGCCCGCCAAATTGGGGGTTTTAGTCCCCAAAATGAGGCATTAGGCCCCCAGAATTGTCGGTTTATCCCCAAAATGAAGCATTAGACCCCCAAAACTGGGGGGTTTAGCCCCAAAATGAGGCATTAGGCCCCCCTAAATGGGAAGTTTTAATCCCCAAAATGAGGCATTAGGCCCCCAAAATTGGGGGGTTTAGTCCCCATAATGAGGCATTAGGCCTCAAAAACTGGAGGTTTTAGTCCCCAAAATGAGGCATTAGGCCTCCAAAACTGGGGGGTTAGGCCTGAAAAGGAGGTATTAGGCCGCCATATTGGGGGTTTTAGTCCCATGAATGAGGCATTAGGCTCCCTAAATGGGAGATTTTAGTCCCCAAAATGAGGCATTAGGCCCGCCAAATTGGGGCTTTAGCCCCCAAATGAGGCATTAGGCCCCCAAAATTGGGGGTTTAGCCCCCAAAATGAAGCATTAGGCCTCTAAAACTGGGGGGTTAGGCCTGAAAAGGGGGCATTAGGCCGCCATATTGGGGGTTTTAGTCCCCAAAATGAGGCATTAGGTCCCCAAAACTGGAGGTTTTAGTCCCCAAAATGAGGCATTAAGTCCCCAGAATTGTCGGTTTACCCCCAAAATGAGGTATTAGGTCTCCAAAACTGGGGGGTGAGGCCTGAAAAGGAGGCATTAGGCCCGCCACATTGGGGGTTTTAGTCCCCATAATGAGGCATTAGGACCCCAAAACTGGGGGGTTTAGCCTGAAAATGAGGCATTAGGCCCCCCAAATTGGGGGTTTAGGCCCAAAATGACACATTAGGCCTCCAAAACTGGGGGGTTAGGCCTGAAAAGGAGGCATTAGGCCTCCAAAACTGGGGGATTTAACCTGAAAATGAGGCATTAGGTCCCCAAAATTGTCGGTTTACCCCCAAAATGAAGCATTAGGCCCCCAAAACTGGGGGGTTTAGCCCCCAAAATAAAGGGGGGGGGAGGGGATGAGAACCTCATGATCCGGAATAAAGAAATTTACGGCATTTAGGCAAATTTTTGGTAATGTATGAGAAACAAAAAAGCAAGATGTCTTCAGATCTGAATAACTCACCGTTTTTTTTTTTAATTTTCTTTTGCTTTTTCAAGGTCCTTTTAACCACCCAGCTGGAACTGGAATTAGGCAAAGCCTACACTTTGCAGTGGAGCTAAAAGCCTGCCACCATCCCGGGTGGCAAAGCTGAGCCAAAATTCCTCACGTTCGCGAATTTTTTCCCTTCTCCTCCCTCAAAATACTTTGCACTATTAAAATTATTAGTTATAATCCCTTGGTTTGACGTTTTTTCCTTGTTCTGAGCTGTGGAATTCTGCCAAGCTGGGGCGTGGCAGGAGGAGGGGACTGCAAAGGACCTCAGGGACTCCAAACTTACAAGGAGCCTTGGGCCCCACTTTTGGGAGGTGCTGATGGTTTTGGGGGCTTTGAACCTGTCTGGAAAGCAACCTTCACCCCCCTCCTCACGAACGAGCCTCGTAAATAAAAACAAAAACTCAACAGTTTTTTTGGGATTCCATCGTGTTTTCCTCCACCTCCTTCCTGAGGCAATCGTGTCAGGAAGAACGATGGAAATCTGCGAAGAAAAAGAGAAAAAAAATAAGTTTTTAGATTTTTTTTGGCCTTCTTTACCCTCATGGACCGGCTTCAAGCCCTGACACCGATGTCAGGGCCACCGTTTCCCTTGTTTTTCACCTCATATTTTTCCCCAGGCCCTGGCCAGCAGCAGGGTTTTTGCTCCTAAATTCTGCTAGGCCCGCACAAAAAAAGCCTTTCTTTTCCCAAAAAGCCTTGAAAGCAGCACCCAGCTACAAAAAAACCACCCTCTCCTCTGTGGCCAAGAGCTTTTTGAGGTCTTCCAAACCCTAAAAACATGGCCTGGTGTTGTCTGTGCGCCAACAGAAGAGAGAAATTTGGGCATTGAGTCTAGTGCTGGAGGAGACAAAGGTTTGGGGTGGATTGAGCCAACCTGTGGCTCAAACTGAGATCCCTTTGGAAAGGACCCCGCTGTCCCCAAAAAACTCTGCTTCCCTACAAGGCTTGAGCCCCCCAAAATGATGCTGATGTGGATCACCCACCTCTTTTTGCCAACTCTGTGGCCTCCTCGCTGGGTCGGGCGCTCAAAGCCCGAGTAGTTAGGGTGGCCGGGGCCACAAACGGAGAGCCCCGGCCCAGTTTTTGGCGGTTTGGGTTGGGCTGACACGGGTTTTTTTCGGGGCGCGGGTGCCACCGGGCGGGTGCTGTTGGTGCCGTTCACGGATAACGCCTTCTTCTGAGGTTCTTTTAGCACCGTCCAGAAGGTTTCGGGCCTGTTTTTTAACCTTTCTTTGCCCCCTCTTTTCCCGGGGGCTGCAGCTGTAGACGTTGTAGGGGGGCTCCTCGGGGGAGGCTGGCCTCCGAGCTTGGCCGGTGATGAGACGCTTATCACGGGAAGGACAGCTCTGTGGGGTCCCGGGGCCGGGGGGGGCTTTTTGGCTGCCGGGTTTTCCCCCACGCAGGGAGGAACATCCCCCGCTCCTCTTCCTGCTCTCTCTGCCTCGAGGCTCCGGGTGTCTTGCCTGTCCTGTTTGCCTTTGGTGACGATTTTTCGGCCTTGCGAGGAGTCCCCGGGATGGCCGGCAGCCTGATGGAAGAACCAAGAATCCAGGATGGTTTTGGGGTCGCATCCTGCCCCACCCACCCACCCCCCTCATGCAGCGCTGGATGCTGCAGCCCTGAAATTTGGGGGGGCTCCCGGCGGCCTCATCCCACCCCATTTGGAGCCCCCAGCCTCACCTCAAGGGAGCCTTCCCTGCCTTCTGCGCCTCCCCTTCAGGGCTGCTTCTTCTGTCGACGCCGTGGGGGCAAGGGAAGGAAGCCCGAGACCTTTGCCTAAAATTTGGGAAGGAGAGGTGTTAGAAGAACATTTCCGTGATGCCGCCGTCCCCGGGGACACGCCGGGTGCTGAGGCTGCTCCCCCGAGACCCTCTTGGCACCAGCCCTCGCCCGGCTCCTTTCTAAGCCTCAATATTTTTTTTGGGGGGCCGAGTTCTGGGAGAAAGGAGCTGGCTACGGCCAATTTTAGGGGGTTGTCTTGATCCCCGTCCTCCTGCAGCGCCCAGGGCCGAGCACATCAGGCACCTCGCACTCGGGGGCTTCCGTTTTGGAGGCGCGGTGACAAGATGTGGTGCAAGGCAGAGCTTTTGGGTGCTCCACGATGGGTTTTCTCACCAGGTAGTCAGTTTCCCGTCCCTTCGAAGGGAACCAGCAGCTGCTTTTTCTTCCCCCAGCTTGGCCGAGAAGAGGGAAAAAGCCCCTTCTTCTTCTCCTTGGAGTGCTCCTGGGGCGTTTTTTTGGGCATGCTCTCCATCTCAAACCTGGCAAAGAGAGACCTCAGCGTGACCCCAGGGCGCGCCACAATCACCCCCATTTCCACGTTGCCATCAAAGCCCATCCCAAATTCCTTCCTGGGACTTTGCAATGGGCTCGTCCAGCAAAGAAGCACCCATGGGTGCAAGGAGAACCCGAGCAGCGGCCACAGCCACAAAAATACTCACTCGGGGAAGACGATGACACGGCCAGAGAAGGTCAGGGAGGCCAAGGGTGCCCCCCGGGACACCACCACGGTCCATCAGCTGGGGGACCTGCAAGGAGATGGCAAATGTCCTCTGGCCCTCGGTCGTGGCCAAAAAACTCCAACCCAAAAGGTCTCGGTGGGCCAAGGGCAAGCGTTGCTACCCCTTTGTGAGGCTGCCCAGGCCGTGGGGGAAAACAAAACCCTCACCTTGAAAAAAGGCTTTTTGAAGGTTCTCCTTCCCGGACACCTTCTGCGGAATTCGGAATAGAATTTTCATTTCCACCCTCGTGCCTTCGATGAGGAGCACGCCCCACGTCCTCAGGACCAGGCGATGTTCTCCCCCTTCCCCACGCAGCGAGAGATGAGGGACGTGGTGCCCTGGATGCAGCTCTCCACCCTCTGCGAGGACAGGCAGATTTGGGCGGCCACCTCGGGGTAGTGGAGGGGTCTCCAGCTCCTTGTGGCCTGGAAAACGACACGAGAGGGATGGGGGCGGTCACCAGCAGCCCTTCCCCGTGGCAGGCGTCACCCAAAAAGGCTTCGGTTTGGGACCTTGTGGTGGGTTTTGGATAGAAAAGGTTTGGCAGCAGGGGGCAACGGGAGGGGGGGTGCTGTGAGAGGGATCTAGAAGCTGCCCCGTGTTGGGGAAGGGTCCTGCTGCTGGCCAGAGCCTGGGCAGTAAGCGAGGCTTTTTGTGCCTCTGGGAGAGCAGATTGGAGACAGAGAAAAAAAAAAACACAAAAAACAAACAAACAAACAAACAATCACAAAAAACCAACAACAACAAAAAAAACCACACAAACAAACCATAAAAAACAAAACAAAACCAAAACAAAAAAACAAAAACAAAAACAAAACAAAACACAAACGAACATACAAAAAAAACTACAAAAAAACTAAACAAAACAAAACAATCACAAACCAAGCAACAAAAAAACAAACAACAACAACAAAAAAAAAGAAAACAAAAAACAAAAAAAAAACAAGCAACAAAACAAGCACAAAAAAAACAAAAAAAGCAACAACAACAAAAAAACACAAACAAAACCAACAAAAACAATACAAAACAAAAAAATACAAACAAGAAACAAAAAAAAACAAACAAACAAAACACAAACAAACAAAAGAAAAACAAAACAAAAAAACAAAAAACAAAAACAAAACAGAAACAAAAAAAAAACACAAACAAAAAACACAGAAACAAACCAAGAAAAAA